GGGATCAATCTTGGGTCCTTGTTCTTTCGAGGCAGGGGGCGGAACCACTGAGTTAAATCCCCAGCCCTCCCATTGGTTGTTTTCAGATGGAGTCTTGCCAAGTCACTCACTTGCACAGGTTGGATTTTAACTTGGGATCCTCTTGCCTCAGCCTCCCAGAGTGCTGGGATTACAGGCTGGAGCCACCATACCTGGCTAAAAAGAATCTCTTTATACCTGTATTATAGAAGGCTGGGGAATGGCAGGAGCAGAAGGAGGGGTGGGGCCCGGTTACTTGCTTGAGGTTCTGGAGACAGAAAGCACTGTGTTGCCTGTGGTGAGGGGAGGTGAGTACGGTTTTGGATGGGGTCCTTATGGGAGTGGGGAGGTAAATGCAGACACACTTGAGGGCAATAGGGAAAAGCAATGGATTAGATTGACCTATGGTGCTATGGGTGGATCTTAAAAACCTTCCTGGTGAAAGAAGACACAGATGAAGTATATAATAATGTGTTTATGAAGTTTAAAATATGTACTGTATGTCCGTCGGACTGCAGAACATTTCACATGGAGGCAAGCAGACAAAAAGACACAGTACACATGGCAGAAGGCCCAGCAGAGTAGGTGAGGACCCCAACAAGGGCAGGCGAAAATCTCAAAAGGCTTGGGAGCTGGACGCTGTTGCACCGTGTTTCCAATGCAGAACTCTCGCAGGTATTGGCGTATGTTTAACAATGGATGTTCTAATAGGAAAAAATAAACCCCCAATTTTAGCATTCGCTGATTTCCAAGGTAAAAGTCCTCTCAAGGCTGACTTCAGGCCAGTTCACTGAAAGCAGCCTGAGAGTCTCACACATTCTGCTCTGCTCTTCTGAGTCTGCTCGTGGAAACTCATCATTTCCTTCACTGCTCCCTGAAAATCTTCATGGAGGTGCGGGCTGGTAATTCTTTGGCGGTAGCTTTTTGAAAGCCACGATTTGTACAACCGCTGGACCAGGTATGTAGCTCAGTGGTGCTGCACCTGTCTGGCAAGCACGAGGTTCTGAGTTCGATCCCTGGCGCCTAGAAAAAACTGTTGTACATGCAAGGTGAGGCACAAGAAGCTTAAGTAGTCTGTTTTTCCTTGACAGGGGCTCACTCTGTAGTCCAGGCTGGCCTTGGACTCATTATGTAGCCGGGGCTGGCCTTGAACTTGCAGTGATCCTCTTTCCTCAGTCTCCTGAGTCTCGTTTCACTTGCTTGATACACACTGAGTATTAAGGTGCATGGAGCATGACTGTCACAACTGAAGTGTCTTGTTCTAGTTTTTTGAAAAATAGTACTTAGGGTTCTGTCTCCCCCAGTCAGTAGGCCAGAATAAACCTTGATCTAAGGATTACCTCCCACTCAGTGACCTCGGCAGTGGCATCTGGGGCACCCCTAGGTGGTTGGTCCAGCCAAGATGCCTCAAGACTTAATTAAAAGTGTGGGTTCCCATGAAGCCCAGATTTGGGTAGGAACCAGGCTGATGGCTTTCGTCATTTATAAAATCAGAAGTGCTGATAAAGGAAGTAAAGTTTTGAAAGGGTCAAGCCCTGCCCCTGCTCATTTGAGAACAGGAAACGAAACGTCAGAATCAACTGGACGCAGAACATCAATGTATATATATCCTCCAAATATCTGTTGAGAGATAGAGACAGACACTGACTCTCAAAAACTGTTGCCTACCCATCTATTTCTCACTCTTTTTTTTTTGGTACCGGGGATCGAACTCAGGTCCTTGTGCTTGCGAAGCAGGTGACAGAACCACTGAGCTAAATCCCCGGCCCCTACCCATCTATTTCTTTTGAAAGGATTATCATTTTAAAGGGCTAGATGGGGCTCTTAGAGATAGAGACAGACACTGACTCTCAAAAACTGTTGCCTACCCATCTATTTCTCACTCTTTTTTTTTTGGTACCGGGGATCGAACTCAGGTCCTTGTGCTTGCGAAGCAGGTGACAGAACCACTGAGCTAAATCCCCGGCCCCTACCCATCTATTTCTTTTGAAAGGATTATCATTTTAAAGGGCTAGATGGGGCTCTTCCAAAATAATCATAAGTTTAATTTGTTAATGCTTTAAAAACTGTGAACACATGCCTGGTGTGGTGACAATACACCTGGTAAGGCTGAGGCAGGAGGATTAATCACAAATTCAAGCCCAGCCTGAGCGATTTAATGATATCCTGTCTCAAAAAAATAGAAAGGGCTGGGGATGTAGCTCAGTGCAAAAACCTAGGTTCAATCTCTAGTGCCACAAACAAAAAAACTGCAAGCATATCTGAGGCATGTTCAGACTTTCCTGGGAAAGCAAGAACTTTATATTCAAAGCAAAACAAAACAAAAGAACAAAACAACAAAACACCAAACCAGTTCCTTCTTGTCACTGTGTCAGAACAGGGCTTCTCACCCTGTGCACTACGGAGCTGGGTCATCCTTGTAGTGAGGGCCATCTGTACGCAGACACATGCTGCCCGATGAGCCCACAGCCCTGCCCGTCATGGCAACCAAAGACAGCTCCCACATCAACACCTCTGCTCAGTCATCACCCCCAGGTGGGAACTGCTGTGCTACAGTGTGCTCAGGTGTCTTCAGTCTTGTCATCATGCTGGTCACGTTTTCACTCAGGACGTCTTGCCAGGGCCACATTAACAGCTGTCATTTGGGTCCAGTTACAAGAGTTCTGTACATCTTCAGGAGCTGCTTGTTTGGACTACTGTTTCACGAATATGTTTCAGTTCCCTTGCACTGTAGGTAACCTTGAGAAATCAGGCATGACCAAACCAATATTCTCTGTCATTGGATGTCCTGTTTTTTTTTTGAAACAAGTTCTTGCCATGTATTCCAGGCTGGCCTTGAACTCTTGATCTTCCTGCCTCAGCCACCAAAACAGCCCTGTGAGCATCACCCCGCAGGGCCATAGTTTGTTAAGATGGGGATGGATCAGACCTGCCAGTCAGGGCCGGGGATTTAGCTCAGCAGTTCGGTGGCCTGCCTTGCAAGTGCAAGGACCCAAGTTCAATCCCCGGTACCAAAAACAAACAAACAAACACCTGCCAGTCAGCTAAGCTGAGGTACTAAGGCCCTGCTCCATTCACCTTATATGGCCTTGTATAATATTTTAACTCTCTCCTGCGATGCAAGGTGAGGAATTCAGTATCCTATCCCCATTTGACCAGGGAGGTAAGTGAGACAGAGGTCAGGGTCAAACTGTGACCAAGAAGGGCCAGGGATGCAGCAGTGGCACCGAACCTGCTTGGTAAGCGTAAGGTCTTGAGTTCGATCCCTGGAACCAAAACAAACAAAAAAAGTTTGAGCCCAGCCTTAAGACCGTCTCAAAAATGAAAAATAAAGTGGGTGGAGGTACAGCTCAGTGTGAAATGTGAAGGCCCTGAGTTCAATTCCCAGTATCACCTGAGTCTTCTCAAATTTAAGCTGGTGAAAAACTTCAGACTTAAGGGATGAACTTAAATAGCGAATGTTTTGGGTTAGAGGTTTCCTTCACAGTCATTCTTACGTGGTTGGCAGGGAAGACTTGACCCTGCCAGCTTCTGATGGGCCAAGTGTGTGTGACAGATTCCTGTGGAGCCGGCCCTTCCCAGGGTCAGGATGCAGCTCCGGGAGCCAGGCCGGCTGAAGGTGCAGGGCCTCCTACCGACGACGCAGAGCAGCGCTGTCTGCAACACTTCAGAAGCTTCCTCTGTCCTAACACTCTTGGGAACTGCTTGGTTCCTTCATTCTCTTCTTTCAGAAAACCTATTTCGACTTTAACCTGAAAATTAAGCCCTTTGCTTATTACCCTAAATGAAACGTTCTCTGAGAGGGAGTCAGACAGTAAATATTCTAGACTTTGTGAGCCAGTGGTGCATTTTCGACTTTAACCTGAAAATTAAGCCCTTTGCTTATTACCCTAAATGAAACGTTCTCTGAGAGGAGTCAGACAGTAAATATTCTAGACTTTGTGAGCCAGTGGTGCACGCCTGTAATTCCAGCACTTGGGAGGCTAAGGCGGGACTGCCATGAGTTCGAGGCCAGCCTGGGATGTGTAGTGAGTTCAAGGCCAAGCTGCACTAATAGTGAGACTGTCTCTCTCACACACACAGAGAACCCCAAACTGTTTTGGATACACATATTTTTAATGAATGCTTTAAAAATGTAAAAACCAAGTACTCAGGAGGTTGAGGCAGGATTGTTACATGTTCAAGGCCAACCTGGGCTACATAGTGAGACCTTGTCTCAAAAAAAAAAAAAAAAAAAAAAAAAAAGTGGGGCCCAGGGATTTAGCTCAGCGGTTCGGTGGCCTGCCTTGCAAGAGCAAGAACCCAGTTCAATCCCTGGTACCACCCCCACCCAAAAAAAGCTGTTCCCCCTTGAGGGTCAAAAAACAGGCTTCTGGCTGCCTTAGTTTATTGACTTCTCCTCTGAACAAATCCTCTCCAATGTACCCTAACCAGCCCAGTTAGAATTAGCAGGAACAGCCTGACTTCTGAAGTAAGCTGAAGGGAACTAGCAGTACCAGGCTGGTAATTCAGAAGGGGCCCGGAGAAGGGGCTCTGCCCAAGCTTCTCTAACCACTGGAGGGCAAATGACCTTGACTTTGCCTGTCTTTGCTGTACAAAACCAGAACCCAGGGAAGCTGGCCCCAGGACAGGGACATTTGTAAGCACTGAGAGCTGAGCTTAGAGGAGTACCCTGTAATCTGTAATCCCACCCACTTGGAAGACTGAGGCAGGAGGGTCAGGATAGCCCGGGTCTCCAAAATAAAAAGGCTGGGGTATAGCTCAGTACTGCAAACACGCCCGCTAGAGATGAGTCGGTGGAAGTGGGGAGCACCTGGCAAGCAGCGAAGCCTCGTGGGCGGGCTCCTGTGGAGAGGGGAGACCGACAGCCAGAGCCTCGATGTGGTCTCAATGCCACAAAACCCTCAGTGGATTCCACAAATGGTAATTTTATTTTTTATTATTATTTTTGGGCACCAGGGATTGAACTCTGGACCGTGCACTTGCAAGGTGGCAGCACCACTGAGCTAAATCCCTGGCCCAAGAGAATTTTATTTTGATAAAAATGTCTACGCTGGCCCCTCCACCCACCATGAAAGAGCATCTGCAGAGGTAAAAGAATGAATGCATTTATTTGGATGCACTCTTCTTAGGCAACTTCAACTTCTTCCACCTGCGAAGCACCACTCGGTAATTGTCACTTTGTGTCTTCTCTTCGAACACCTTTTTCAGAAGAATCCTCATTACTACCTCTGTTTCTGCTTCTCTGTCCTCTCCAATGACAAGGTCCAGCGTATCTCCTACTTTTACCTAAGAAAATAAAGGAAAATAAGGCAACAGCCTCCGTTACACTTGGGGAAGAGACTCAAGCCACGCAGACTTTGCTGTTCGAGTTCTGGCCTAGTGACCTGATTGCCACCCAGGAAGGGCAGCTGAGGAGGGCCAGGGCTGCTCCGTCCTCATGCGTCCCTGTCAGCTGCTGCTGGGGTCTCTGGGGGGACCGAGGGAGAATCTGACCTGGGAATGCTGAGTGTGCTCAGAAACTGCTACGTCCACGGGGAGACATTTCCAGTGCCACACACCTGCCGGCTTCCAACCAGACAGTGTCCATCAGGAGATGGTGGTCTGCTGGGAGTCAGGTACTGTGCAACAGCAGCCAGCGGCAGAGGGATGGAAAGAAAGACACTGCTTTTCCACTGCCGACTGGCCTCGGGGGTGCTGCACAATCATGCGGGATGAGCCATCCGCCACGGAGGGAGAGCTGGATGCTGATCCAGTGAGTTAGAAGGCTAAGGTGAAACAGTTCTTACCAGGAGACACCCTGGGTTGAGCGCATCAAGGCTCCAAGGCCTGAGCTCCAGTGCCTGAGGACTCAGCTCTATGCTGAGGGTGGACAACAGGTGACAGACAACAGGCTCAGGATCTCAGGGCGTTTTCCCAGAGACTTAAGAGGCTAAATAGCTAGGCATGGTGGTGCACACCTGTAATCCCAGCACTGTCGGCTGAAGCAGGATCCCAAGACTAAACAGGACAAGGTGCTGCATGCTGTTCCTTCTACTAAACACAAGCCAGGGTTACTGGGGGGCCACCTTCATCTACTTACCTGCTTCCAATGCAGGGAAACTAACTCTAAGTGGACAACAAGGCTATTTTAAAAGCCCACTGGAAAGCTTCAGTCTAAGCAGCATGGTATCACCAGACACAGTGGTGATTAGCATTCAGGAACCTGAGGCAAGAGGGTTCCAAGTTTGAAGCCTACCTGGGCTACACAGCTAGTTTGAGGCCAGCCTAACACTGGGTGCAGTGGTGTACGTCCCTTTAATCCTAGTACTTGGGAAGCTGAGGCAAGAGGATCACTGTGAGTTCTGAGGCCAGCCCGAGCTACACAGTGAGACCCTGACTCAAACAACTAAGAGCCACAGTGTCAAATGCCTTTATCCTATTTTCTTTCTTTATTTTATTTTATTGGTACCGGCGATTGAACTCAGGTCCTTGCGCTTGCAAGGCAGGCAGCGGAACCGCTGAGCTAAATCCCCAGCCCCTTTATTGTATTTACTAATTATATTCTTTGAGGCAGACAGCTTCAAGCAGTGTTCCTCACCAGAACAAGCTTGTGACTGCTCTCCCCAACCTCAGGCACCAGTACGGCCACCACTACATGGTCAGTGCAGAGTAGCGAGGTGTAAACCTACACTGATTTTAAATGAGTCATTTCCTTCCTGCTGGGCTCAAAAATAAAAGATTCACTCTTCAGCTAGGTATCAAGACTGCTTCTCAGAAATGGGGACATGCCTAAACTCCAGCACTTGGGAGGCTGAGGCAGGAAGGATCAGTGTAAGCTTACACCCAGCCACTCTGAACTGACCAGTGTAGTGATGGCCAGCAGGGCAAGGCCAGCTTGAAATACACAATGAGAAGAAAAAAAAAAAATAAAAAAAAAAAAAAAAAAAAAAAAAAAAAAAAAAAAGACAAGGTCTGGAACTAACCTTTTTTGCATAATTTTATCTCACTAAAATTCATTTTAATAGGAAATAGATGTGACACAAAATCTTGAAAACACAAGAGTATATAAAAAAAGACAATACCTTTTGTGCGTCCTTGCAGCTAGTGGGCAGCTGAAACAGAATCCCTTAGGGGCTTCCTTCTAAGGCAGAGGCTAGGAAAAGCGTGTCTCTCCTTTGCCCCGCTGATCCTGGGGACAGATGACTTAGGAGGCCACCAGTCCCCACACTTGGGTTCTCCACACCATTGTCTGAGCCAGCAGCTACACAGCACCACAGTACTCTTGGCCCCACCTGGTTACAGCTCACAGAGAAGCTCTGCTGGGCTGCGGGCAGCCAGGGTTGGAGCCAGCATCGGACTTGTGCCTGGGACCAGCGCCTGACCTTTCGGGGCCAGCAGCCAGGCACAGCTCCACAGAGCAGGCCAAGGAGAGTGGGCACTCTATTCCCCTCCAAGGTTGTCCTTCAGCAGGCACAAAGCAAAACTGGCTGGGATTAGTGGCTGTGCCAAATATCTACATTTTAAATCTCCCCTCAGCTGCAGTTTCTATGACTACCAGGCCTCCTGGTAACAAGGCAGCCGAGTGTTAATGCTGGCCTCTGCCTCTGCTGACCCTCAGGAGAAATCGGAAGGTAGCAAGACAACAGAACACCCAAGGAAGAGTGAGGCAGCAGCAATTAGGTTGCAGTTTACAGTATCTCAAAGCAGGAGGAGAAAAACAGGCTTGTGGGGTTTGTAAATGAGGCCCCCACTGGGCAAGATGTTCAGGGAGTCCATTTCCTACTCCAAGGAAAAGCTCTTGCCTTTGCAGCAGTGTGAACCTGCTGGTCAGGACGGTCACAGGGACCAGGGCCTCTGTCACATGGCTGAGGCAGGTGTGGGGACGCATACGATCCTGGGGATTAAGGCCTGAAGGAAACCGCATGCTCACCCCATGCAGGTCCACAGCAGCGCATTTCCTAGGGCAGTAGCACTAGCTCAGATCCTCTAATCCCAGCACAGCAGTGGTGGACACGTGCCTTGCACACATGAGGCCGTGGGCTGGGTCCCCAGCATCACTCAACCAGTAAAGCAACTCGCCACTTCAAGGGTTCCCTCAACAGTGAAGAAGAGAATGTCTGCCTTTATTATTATCATTTACGTTGTGTGGTACTGGGAATGAACCCAGGGCCTGCATATACTTCCCCAGCCTTGCTTCGAGACAGGGTTACCCTGAGTTACCCAGGTAGGGCTCAACTTGTGATCCTCCTGCCAAACCTCACAGAGAGCTAGGATCAGAGGTATGTGCCAGCCACCATGCCTGACTGTTTTTTCAGTCCAATATCCCAGTCTTATGTGTCTAAACTTTATAAGGGTCTCTGCCTTACACCTTTTCATTATGTTAATTCTTATTATCAATATCGTTTTCTCCAATATGCAAGTGATGCATACTCATGGTAAAAATTCAGAAAAAAAGGACTGAGGAAAATTCATACAACCTATAATGTCCCAATTAAGATAAATACTACTAACAAATATTTTAATTCTAGATGTATGCTTATATGTAACTTGTTTTGAGCTGAGCACTGTGGTGCATGCCTGTAACCACAACTACTTGGGGGGCTGAGGCAAGAAGATCTCAAAGTTTCAGGCTAGCCTTGGCAACATACGTGTATGTATAGGTTTGCATTTTACACACACACACACACTGCACAGACTGTGGACTAGTGGTAGAGCATTCACAGGTGCTAGGTTCAACCTCCAGGACCACTACAAAACAAAACAGATTTTAACAGATTCCCCTCTGTATGACTTAGAACATATAGGGAACAGTGCTGGTACAGACCCATCAGAAAGCACAGACGTCCTTCTACAAGCCACCTGGTGCACAGCAGCACAGCCAAGCAAGTGCTCAGTGGGCGCTGCCTGCCGGAAGAGAATTACAGCTGCTCAGATGACACTGGGCCAGGACCACTAGTACACGGATCAAATGGTTCTCTATAATCTAATTACTGTGATTCCACGGGGCCTAACGCTAATATCCGGAGGTTTAATTAGTGGATTTTGCTATTCTTGATGGAAGCTTATCCTGCATCTTCATCACAAGGTTGCTATAGCAAGAGAAAGCGGCATGTGACTGGCGCTTGGTGATTCTCACCAGCGTGCCGTGCCGTGGGCCTCAAAGAAGGCAAGAAGCCACTGTCCGCCCTGCGTAACGGGTCCACAGGGAGAAGTGCAGAAGCACTGAGTACCAACACAACACCAGACAAAGCCTTCTAGCTGTCAACACAGTTAATGTCTTACCGTTCTGCTTTTCTTCCATAATTTTTCCCCATTCAGTCTGAGATCACCTTTGTAGAATGCATCTTCCACTTGGCTTTAGGAAGAAAAAAAGACAGTGCTTCAAAATATATTCAAAACAATTATGCAAGTTTGAAGAAAATGCCTGCAAAATTAATATTTATGCTGACAATGGCTTCTTGGCCTTTTGGCTAAGATTAAGTATAATATTTCTGCTGACAGTCACTCTCCACAAAATCCCCATTCTGAGTGCTGGAAAGCAGAAAGTCACCTTTGGGGCCAGGGATTTAGTTCAGTGGCACCATGCCTGCCTTGCAAGTGTAAGGTCCTGAGTTCCATTCCCAGTACTACAAAAAAATAAGTCACCTTTGCCCACATGTAGGTAGACGGGGACAGAAGGTTCCCTCTGAACAGATGCTGAGCTCCTGTGAACATCTGGCAGCATGGTGGGCAATGGACTGGAGGCTTTGGCATGCAGACCACACTCCATTTCCAGTGCCCAGTGCATCCACTGCATGGCCACAGCCCAGGGCCTCGCATGGCCAGCGCGAGTGGCACTGCCTCACCCTCAGATACTGCTCGGCACAGAGGAAAACCAGGCAGCACGTACGGCATGGCCACCACGAAACTCTGTGCCAGTCAGCGCTCAAACTGGGAACGTTCCAATCTGACAGCTGCTCATCTCTGGGTTAAACTGCTGGTTAGATAAGTAGATGAGAGGAGGAGACAGACAAAACTCAGTGCCCTTTCCTTTGATGATCCAACTCCAGGTGACCAACTGCTTAGTAACAGCAGTGGCCCCTACTCTAGGAGAGGCCCCTTACAGAACAAACCCTAATCTGGAGACCAGGAGGGATCTAGGGACTCAAAGAGTCTTTTTAGTGAGTCTTAAGCTCTATGGATTAAAAAATTGAACTAGGCCATTAAGTTAGGCCATAAAGGTACAAATTACCGATGGAAATATTTCCGAGTTTATTCATGCCACAGTCCTTCCCTTTTATGCAGTATGCACACACTAACTTCTGAAGGAATAAATGAACAAAGAGCACCTTCAGTAGAGTTAGTCTAGCAGGGAGGATGAGCACATTCAAGAAATCCTGAGCTGGGCATGGAGACACACACGTATAATCCTAGCACTCTGGGAGGCTAAGGCAGGAGAATCACAAGTGGGCAATACAGTTACTTATCAAGAACCTGTCTCAAAATTAAAGCATACCTTCTTTTTTTATTTTTTGGTACCAAGAAATTGGAACTCAGGACCTTGCGCTTGCCAGGCAGGTGCCACTGAGGTACATCCCTGGCCCTTCAAAATTAAAAAGAAGGGGAAAAGTGGCCTGGGAATATAGCTCACGGCCAAGGCCCTGGGTTCAATCTTGAACATGCAGGTTTTTTTTTTCTTTTTAGAACATTTATTCTGGCTCACAGTGCAAGCTGTGATTGAAAAACATAGTAATTAAAAAACAAACAAATAAACAAAACACTCATAAGCCAGGCGTGGTGGCACACGCCTCTAATCCCAGCACTTTGGAGGCTGAGGCAGGAGGATCGATGTGAGTTCGAGACCAGCCTGGGCTACACAGTGAGTTCCTGTCTCAAAAACAAAACAAAACAACTCATTACAATGAAAGGAAAATTGTCATTAACCCCCCACTTAAAATATTCCTTGTTTCAAACATGCTTTTCCCATGGTTCCTGCCACTTTCTGAAGCAGTTCCCAAGTCCTCTTTTGTGAGTGTTGCACTGCCATGGCTGACTCAAGGTTCCGATTCGATCCCAAAATCTTTACTTTTCAAGGTCATTTTGACACAGTGGAAGAGCCACAAGTCACAAGGTGCCTGATCTGGTGCATATGGCGGAAGAGAACACAGCAAAATGTTTCAAAGAGCCTGCTTTTCCACTGGATGACACTCAGCAGCGGCATTCACATTTTTAAATCTCATCTTGTAAAGACATGAAAGAGGGCTTCCAGGACTGCCTCAGAAAGTGGCACGGATGATGGAATGGGTGTTCAAAGGAAGGAGTAGTGTGAGGGGGACTAATTCCAATGTACCTTTCCTATAATAAACCTCCCCCCCCCAATACTGGGGATTGAATTCAGGTCCTTGCACTTAAGAGGCAGGTAGCAGAACCACTGAGCTAAATCCCCGGCCCCTCCTAAAATAAACTTTTAAAATTGAAGCCTTTATCTGGTATTTTGATCACCCCTTGAATTTTCCTTTAAAAAGCTAACAAGGCCAGTGTGGTAGCACATGCTTGTAATCCCAGCAGTTGCAGGAGTCACATGTGTGAGGCCACCCTTGGCTACTTAGTGAGTACATAATGAGATCCTGTCTCCAGAAACCAAAAAAGGTGTGGGCGGGTACAAAACATCTAACAGCTAAGATAAAAAAATACAATAAAAGCTAACATCTATTGAGTACCTACTCAATATGTTCCAGGCACTGTTCTCAAGTGCTTTCAATGGATACTCATTTAATACTAGGCAGCTACCTTCTAACTTCTGTTAGCCCCATTTTAAAGATGAGGGCCAGGCATGGCGGTAGACATGCTTGTAATCCCAGCATGGGGAAGCTGAGGCAGGAGAATCACTGTCTCCCAAAAAATGAAAGAGATGAGGAAACAGATGCAGAGAATTCAAGTAACTTGTCCCTGCTCACACAGAACAAGGCTGAAGCTCCAGTAGTCTGGCTGTACAGCCTGCATTAACCAGCACCTCCTGTGGATTGAGGCATTTTCTCACATCGGAGCATCTGTGAAAATCAGGTGCCTGTTGAGCTTCCTATGTATATCTAATATTCTGTTTCACAAAGATGCTTGTCGGTGCCACTCAACTGTGTCTTAGACTCAAGGAAACATGGCTCAGGGGATTTGCAGGCAGTCATCTGACTTCTTTAGGGACCCGTTTTCTCATCTATAGTGAAATAATTGAAACAGGTTTCCTGTGAGGTCCTTCACGTGTGGTTCCCTTCTCCATAATACAGCCTGCGTGGTTTGTAATGTGGCAGAAAAATAACACGTCAAGTGCATCTGTGATAAAAATGTCACACTTACTTCCTCCCAATATCCAGGCCTGACTTCAGGATTACATCGAACCGGAAAGAATGAACCACCTTCTCCAGGTCCTTGTAGTCTCGGACCACAGTGGGGTCATCTTCAAGCTCCTCTTCCTGCTCACTTCCCTCGCGGTTGTCACTCTCATCAGAGTCTTCTTCACCTACTTCGTGCTGAGTTTTTTTAGAGGACTTTTTAGAGCTTATATTACTTTTGAGTCTTATAAAAAATGGGAAAATATATTCTGGAGATACTAAAAGCCCTGGGAATCTCAGAGAGAAAATGTTATGGAAAAGTGTTTTATAATCTGATGCTTTTAACTTGGTACTTGAAACATATAAATAACGATTACAGGAAGCACAGAGTCTGTGTGAAGATGTCCTTTGAAGCACACCGCAGAGTCCCATCCAGGCTTCGGGTTTTTTAAAAATACCGGCGAACAATCTGCCACTGGTCATAGCCATGGTGCCTCCAACCTGAAATGAGACAGGTCCTCAGTTTGGTCTCACAGCACACTGACACCGTACAGCACACGTGGCCTGGGCACTTTCTGTCCAGTACTGCACAGCTGCTCCCCTCACAGGTCAGGCCAGTGTGTGCACGCCAGAGCCCTGTTCCAGATCGTGGGGTCTGCTTGGTGCAATCTGTGCTTAGCTCCTAGGCTGTCATGAGCGTCCAACGGACTCCAGTATGTGAAAACACTGGGTGCTGACTTCTATTTAAGAATATTAGCACTGACCCTCAATGATTTGTTTAAACAGCTGGAGAGACTATCTAGGGACACACACCGCACCCTTATAATATGGACACTGCCAAGGAAGAGCAGACTGCGACTTCACGAATCTCCATAAACCTCCGGCCCCAGCAAATCAGAGCTGGGAATGAACAAATCCCAGGGATCTGCCTTTGACCCCCTTTTCATCCCTCTCCCACTGTTTTACAGACAGTGGCTAGCAGAAGGGGCCTGGAGACCCAGAAACCAGGTAATCATTCCTCGATTCCTCCACCTATGAACACAGCAGGAACCGTCTTCCCGTGATGGCAGGAGACAGCGCGAGAAGGGTTTCCATACGGTCGTGATCCTCATCCTGTGTCTGTAGGTGGCTGTCCTTCATGTCAAGGTTATATTGTGGGACTGATTTCATTATGGTTCTTATAAATTTTCTTTCCGACTTTTCATTAATCACAAAGCTGAGAACAGCAATTATTGGTATGGCTCACGCAAAAATACAGGGCTACCTACTTCTACTTTACTGTTGATGTTTTGGGCCTTGCTTTTCTGGAATGAATGGTGACACAAATTTGACTTGGGATTCCAACTCAACTCTTTAAATGAGAAAGCAGGCCCAACTTAAGGGCTGTTTTTCAATGACTATGATTTGATTGTTTTCTGAGTTAGGGTCTCATTCTGTAATTCAGGCTGGCCTCCATCTTGCAGCAGTCTTCTGCCTCAGCCTCGCAAGTGCTGGGATTACAACTATATGCCACTATTCCTGGCACAGAACTGTAATTTTAGCCGGGGACTTAGCTCAGTGGTTTTGCTAGCAAGCACAAGGTCCCGAGTTGGATCCCCAGTACAAAAAAGAAAAGAAAGAAAGAAAACATTAAAAAAAAGAACTGAAGCCGGGTGTGGTGGCTCACCCCTTTAATCCCAACACTTGGGAGGCTGAGGCAGGAGGTACGCTGTGAGTTTGAGACCAGCCTGGGCTCCACACTGAGTTCCAGGTCAGTCTCAACTACATAGTGAGACCCTGTCTCAAAAGACAAAAAACAAAACAAAACAACAACAAAAAAAAGAACTGTAATTTTAAATAATTTAAAATTTTATAAAACTCAAGAGTATTCTAAAATGACTAGAAACTTCCTGAAGCACTTTCAAGAGAAATGTTACCAAAAAAAATTATACTTAGACATTTCTTTCTTCCTTTTAATTTTTTTGAGGAAGGGTCTTACTGTGTAGCTTAGACCATCCTTGACTTGCATTGTAGCCCAGGTTGGCTACAATGAACTGAGGCAATACTCCTGCTTCAGCCTAAGAACTAGGCCTACACCTGTGTGCCACCATGCACACAGCTTATGCATATTTTAATTTAATATACAATAGCCACGCAAAGAATTTTAAATTTTTCTAAATCGGGGATAAAGGAAGAAAACAGCCTATTTCAAGGGTCCATAGCCGGGCATGGTGGTGCGTGCCTGTAATCCTAGCACTTGGGAGGCTGAGGCAGGAGGATGTTGTGAGTTCAAGACCAGCCTGGGCTGCACAGTGAGTTCCAGGTCAGTCTCAACTACATAGTGAGACCCTGTCTCAGAAAACAAACAAAAAGAGTCCATAGATGTATTTCATGCTGCACTACAATAAATTTTTCTTCAACAAAAGCTAACCTTTGCCTATTACAAAACCAAAGAGAATGGAGAGTTTGAGGAGGTAGGAAAGTACACCCCGGGGCAGGAGGGGAAGTCACCTGCATCCAAGGCTGGGTCGCTGCTCCCCACCTGAGCCCTCGCCCTGCACCACAGTGCTTTTGCTTTTGGAGAAGGCCTGCATACAGGGCTCCCTACACATCTCAGATAGCTGTTCCCTACACTAAGGAATCTCCGCCAGCAGAAAACAACTCTGAAATCACACTCACATGAAAACATACAAAGCCAAGCACCACCTTTGTGCTTATTAGCTACTCCCTCTCTGGGATCTGCTTCACTTTCCAGTGGCGCACACTGGCAGATCTGCAAGCTTAGGCTACATGAGACAGACATAAAAACAAAAAGCGATTAACCTAGCTTTTGCTAAAGAGGATGAACATCTGTAGGTGAACACTGGGCACTCAAGGCCTCAAGGGAGCTTAGGAACCCAGAACTGGTCAGGAAAGCCCTGAGTTGGGACGGGGGCACCACAAAGAGGGTACGACCCTGGTCCCCAGCTTCTCTTCAGCCAGAGCAGTGCTGGTTTCTTTCCTTTTTTTTTTTTGTGGTACCAGGGGTCAAACTCAGGACCTTGCATTTGCAAGGCAGGCGTGGTACCACTAAGCTAAATCAGCCCTGGTTTCTTTTTTTTTTTTGTGGGACCAGGGGTCAAACTCAGGACCTTGCATCTGCAAGGCAGGCGTGGTACCACTAAGCTAAATCAGCCCTGGTTTCTTTTTTTTTTTTGTGGGACCAGGGGTCAAACTCAGGACCTTGCATCTGCAAGGCAGGCGTGGTACCACTAAGCTAAATCAGCCCTGGTTTCTTTTTTTTTTTTGTGGGACCAGGGGTCAAACTCAGGACCTTGCATCTGCAAGGCAGGCGTGGTACCACTAAGCTAAATCAGCCCTGGTTTCTTTTTTTTTTTTGTGGGACCAGGGGTCAAACTCAGGACCTTGCATCTGCAAGGCAGGCGTGGTACCACTAAGCTAAATCAGCCCTGGTTTCTTTTTTTTTTTTGTGGGACCAGGGGTCAAACTCAGGACCTTGCATCTGCAAGGCAGGCGTGGTACCACTAAGCTAAATCAGCCCTGGTTTCTTTTTTTTTTTTGTGGGACCAGGGGTCAAACTCAGGACCTTGCATCTGCAAGGCAGGCGTGGTACCACTAAGCTAAATCAGCCCTGGTTTCTTTTTTTTTTTTGTGGGACCAGGGGTCAAACTCAGGACCTTGCATCTGCAAGGCAGGCGTGGTACCACTAAGCTAAATCAGCCCTGGTTTCTTTTTTTTTTTTGTGGGACCAGGGGTCAAACTCAGGACCTTGCATCTGCAAGGCAGGCGTGGTACCACTAAGCTAAATCAGCCCTGGTTTCTTTTTTTTTTTTGTGGGACCAGGGGTCAAACTCAGGACCTTGCATCTGCAAGGCAGGCGTGGTACCACTAAGCTAAATCAGCCCTGGTTTCTTTTTTTTTTTTGTGGGACCAGGGGTCAAACTCAGGACCTTGCATCTGCAAGGCAGGCGTGGTACCACTAAGCTAAATCAGCCCTGGTTTCTTTTTTTTTTTTGTGGGACCAGGGGTCAAACTCAGGACCTTGCATCTGCAAGGCAGGCGTGGTACCACTAAGCTAAATCAGCCCTGGTTTCTTTTTTTTTTTTGTGGGACCAGGGGTCAAACTCAGGACCTTGCATCTGCAAGGCAGGCGTGGTACCACTAAGCTAAATCAGCCCTGGTTTCTTTTTTTTTTTTGTGGGACCAGGGGTCAAACTCAGGACCTTGCATCTGCAAGGCAGGCGTGGTACCACTAAGCTAAATCAGCCCTGGTTTCTTTTTTTTTTTTGTGGGACCAGGGGTCAAACTCAGGACCTTGCATCTGCAAGGCAGGCGTGGTACCACTAAGCTAAATCAGCCCTGGTTTCTTTTTTTTTTTTGTGGGACCAGGGGTCAAACTCAGGACCTTGCATCTGCAAGGCAGGCGTGGTACCACTAAGCTAAATCAGCCCTGGTTTCTTTTTTTTTTTTGTGGTACCAGGGGTCAAACTCAGGACCTTGCATTTGCAAGGCAGGCGTGGTACCACTAAGCTAAATCAGCCCTGGTTTCTTTTTTTTTTTTGAGACAGGGTCTCACTAAGTATTTGAGACTGACCTGGAACTCACTATGTAGTCCAGGCTGGTCTTGAACTCACAACATCCTCCTGCCTCAGCCTCCCGAGTGCTGGGATTAAAGGCACCTGTGCCACCACGCCCAGCTTTTTTTGTTTTGTTTTCTTTATATTTTAAGAAAATGGATTCTGCTCAAAACATTCCCACCCAGTGGCAGGGTCTCCCCTTCTCCTCAATCCGTACCATACTACTTGTCTTTCCTCACTTTCTAATTAGTTCTTGTGGACTAGTCTCTCATACTCTGAGGCAGCAATGGCGAACTTTTCAGAGCTTTCAATGATAACAGACCACTGTGGCATGCAGGCCATAGGGTCGTCACCAAACCCAGTCAAGAACTGGAGATTACCGCTCTAGAAACAGACATCTGCCTGTGACTATATCCAGCCCACACTCACTCACCCACCAGCACCTCCACGCTCCTGGGTAGGCCTAGGTATACAGCAGTCCTTGTCCTCAGGAAACTGCCCTTTAAATGGAGTGTAGGGAGGTAATCCAGCTGTCAGAGAAGGCTGGACCTTGAACTGGTGGACACCAGGACAGGGATGGGTACGAGCAATCTAACAGCAAAAATGGCCTGAAATGGAGCAACTTTTCACTCACAGATCACTATCAGCATGTTACTTCTCTTATTCAAAAATGAGCAGACAGACAGAATCTCTTTAATTATACTACCTCCTAACTACTACCTGTATACTTGCTCCTTTTTGTTTTGTTTTGGGTCCTTCCCCTCTCAAGGGCCGGGGATTTAGCTCAGCGGTTCGGTGGCCTGCCTTGCAAGCACAAGGATCCGAGTTCAATCCCTGGCACCAAAAAAATAAATAAATAAATAAATAAATAAATAAATAAATAAATAAATAAATAAATAAAACAAACTGGAAAAGGTCATCTATATTCTCCCTAAATCCTGCCTT